TGTAGAAGATCATTTTAATTATTTTTCAAATATTTTTTTTATTCTACAATTGGAATATATTTTATTTTATTTTTCGTCATGATTCGCGAGATTCCGTCTATTCAACCCATTCAGCCAGAATTTAATCTATTTCACCAAAATAAGCTAATTCAACTCATTTTAGTATTATCAAACGGATTCTATATTTAGACTGAGTTTATTTTGTTTTTGCATCACCTTATACGTAGTATATGATTTTGAAAAAATCAAATTTAAAATTAGCTAAATAAACTTAGTCTAAAATTAGCTAGATTATGTACTGCCTGTGCATCGCATGGGCTTGAAAACTAGTTTCGTAAAAAAAAATTGGAAGTCTACGGATGTCTTTTGCTGGAACAGTTTTCAATAGGTGTGGGATCGGGTCGGGTTGGGTCGGGTTTTGGCTAGGACCGTAAAAAACCCAAAAACATCGGGTTCTACATTTTTGGGCCCGACTGGAGGACCAATACTTTCGGGTTGGTCCGGGTTTTAAGAGCCTTAGGTTCGGGTTGGGTTCAACCCGAAAAAAATCGAACTGAAATATCTAAAAACAATTGAAATACAATCACAACAAAAATTTCAAATATCTAAACTTTTAATCAAAAGATATACGTAGTATTTAAAACCAAAGCACTATATTTTGAATCTAAAAATGACACGATACAAAAATGTTGTAGAAGAACAATTGGTTCGAAAGCAAAATAATATTTCCCTCCATCCCAAATTTATTTACAAAGTCAAGATTTTTTGGTCAACCAATGTTAAAGTTAAATCCTCCATATTGATACTTGATTCAATTTTAATTTGAATAATTAAAATTTACATATTCAAAACTACATTAAAATCTCTTCAAAGTTGCAAACTCCAAATTAAATATAATTAAAAATTGACATCCAAATTAAGTGAATAAAATGAAATTGTTTGACTAAAAAATCAATTTTGCGAATCAATTTCGGACAAATTTAGTATAAAACAGTCCATATGTATCATATAAAAAAAGCAGTATGATGTATTAATAAGTCACATGTATCAAATTATATATTTTTTAGTTTCTTAATTAAATCGGGTTTTTTCGGACCGGGTCGGGCTTAAAATTTTAGAACACAAATTAGGATCCAAGTTTTCGGGTCGGGTATTTTAAACCGGACCGGTCATTTTTAAAACAAAACCTAGACCAATGTCATATATCGGGTTGGGTCGGTTCGATTATCGGGTTTTGAGTTGGATTTTCCCACCCCTAGGTTGTATTCTTGTAGATATTTTTTGATTCAAGTTGGAGCATATTACCATATCTTAAAGCCCGTTTGGTAGCACGAAAATTGGCTCTTTTGGCTGATTCTGCTGAAATTTATGAAGTTCTGGCTGAAGTGGCTGCATTGGCTGATTCTGCTAATTTAAGAAAAAATTATTTTTAAAATATATTTTATTAACAAAATGAAGAAAAATTATATGTAAAAATAGCTAAAATCGTCATCTATAGTAACTTCAGCCAATACAGCCAGAAAAGTAACTTCAACCTTACTTTTTCTGCTTGTTACATAATTCAGCGCGCGAAAACAAATGTTACGTGTTTGGTGAAAAAGTTGACTGATAAGCCTGATAAGCTGAAAAACAGTGTTGCCAAACGGTCTCATAGCGTCCGAGTGACCAATGATGAAATTGGAGCCAATACAACTCACTTCTAAAAACACCCACATACATATATGAGCTGTGCTAGGTGTGCACAAAATGTGTACACCTTTTTTGTACACTCGTCTGTCCCCCGCAGACAAATTGTCTGTTCACAGACAACTATAACACAGACAACTCTATAGAGCTGTCTGTGGACAAACAACTTGTCTACGGGGGACAGACGAGTGTACAAAAAAAGTGCACACATTTCGTGTCCACCACACATTTTTCTTTATATATATTCTCTCCAAATACTATGGCTTTGTGATCTCATTGTGAATTACTATCACTTCATATTCCTAAAAATTGTTAAAATCAATTACTAAAATCTAATATCATCTCCAAATATTCTAACTTTTATACGGATTATAACTTACACTACACTGCCATATATGTTTTCTAAAATAATCTCGACTCATGTCATTTTAAAAATATCATAAACGGACCAACTTCATCCATAAACGACTCAACATATGGTGATTGATCATTATAATTTTAGATGAACATAAAGACTTTGTTTCCTATATTTTGAAAATATATATTCAAAGAAGTGACTAAAAACACAAATTAATTATACCATTTTTATACGGAGTAATATTATGGGCGTATTTCACATTTAGCGATTAGCGGATTATGTTAGTGGATTGTTAATACCGAATTCAATCAAAGGGTTTGACTAGCAGAATAAGTTTAGGGCTTGCCAGAAGATGTTTAGTAATTTAGTTTTTCTGCCACAATAATTAGTAGATAACACCATATTCAAAACGCTAACAAAAAACTCTCCTATTTGCTGCATTTTCATTACAGCGGTTATGTATAGGGCCGAAAAACTATTTACTAAACGACATTTTTCAGTTATTGAAAACGCTAAAAGGGTTCAAACCACCATTTTTTGACTGAAACACCATTTTCTAAACACCTCCAACATTTACAAAAACAGTCTACCAAGTTCCAAGGACGACACCACCACTACTAGCTTTGCAAACCCCGTAGGGTCCAAAGTCATTACTGCTATATGCTCTTCATACATAGTATTGTTCTAACAAATAAATACAAGCTTTTACAGTGCACTTTGTATTCATTCATGCATCCCTCCGAACACACACAATGATGACGCCCTTAGTAGATGAGCTAAAAGAAATTTCACCTTGCTAATATGAGTAGTGCAATAAATCTTTAAATCTCTACTCAGGATATTACAATCATTCTCATTTAGACAATCATCCTCACTTTTTTTTTCTTTTTTTTTTCCATTAGCATTTTCTTGCTTCTTTAGTTTTATTTATTACTCCATATGTTCTCTAATTTTCTCTTCTTTTGCGTTTTTCTTCATCGATTTAGGAGCAATGAGAACCATGTTTAACGTAAGAATCGTGAGAACATCACTTTTAACTCAATATGATACACTATAACTTTTGTCATTGCACTTTTTCGTGTAGGCGGAATATATTTTTGAAACTGCCACCGTATTTATTTGATGTTGCCATGCTTTAAACAAAGACTAAAAAGTGCAATATATAACCTGCATAGTGCATCAAATTGGGTTAAAAGTGTCTCATCTCACATTCTCACGATAAAATGTTATCATTAGAAGAAGTTCGCCTTTTATTCATCTTTAGTCTTTATTAATTTTAGATGTTGCCATTCTATATTAATTTTAATAAAACTTGGTAAAAGTTTTTCCATAAAAAAGGTGTATATAACCTTATAATGTGACAACAATTTAAAAAAACATGAATGCCCTTTTATGTATACATAATGCCTTTGATATCATAGAACTTTGGATATTAAAGTCCGTTGATCCGGTAGGGAACAACATCACCCTTTGATTCAGGTCTTAATCGCTCAACGCCCTTATCACCAATTGATTTTAAGTTTTAATGACTGTGATATGATTGTGGTTTAACTACAAAATTATGCAATTAAGTGAGATCGCGAGACTGGGGTAAGAAAGCCCAAAAATGGATGATGGGAAGTTTGTCGAAAGAGGTGATCAATCCTACAAAGTCTAAAATATTTTTAATTGTGCCACCGCACCTTTGATGAAAAAATGAGCTAATTTTTCAATTTTAAGCTATGAAAGACTTGGTTTTATCTCGTGTGATAAAATAATTGATACACCATTCTCACAAACTTAACAACTACATGCCTTTATGTTAGGAGCTTATCTCACTCGACTCGACCCGACCTGATCAAATTCACGATTGGTTATGTTTTTCAAAATTTTGGGTGGACTAATTCATTTAGTTCAACAAAGATTGATATCATCAAAGCGATTTATGTAGTTTATAGCCAGATCATATTGAATTCGCTTTGCATGTTTCGATCTCTGCTTGTCTTCACCTATGCGGTGTTTTTTGTTGTTTTTTTTATAAAAAATTTCACCTATGTGGTGTTTATCCTGTGCGATAGTACTTCTTCATCACTTGTAAGTTGCCGTATGTTTTTTTGCCTTTCTTTTCTTTTTTGAGTTTTGGTTATTTCCCTCCACCTTTTCAATTAAGGAATAGTTTTTAAATAAAGCATGGCTAGATTTTACATTTATTTTTAACAATTTGATTTGATAGTTCATATACTCATATTGTTTATACTAAGAAATGTCATAAAAAAATCTTTCTAAGAAATCTTCCTCCTACCCATTAATGAATACTTGTTGATAACAATTGAAATGTGTGTACTTTGTTGTATATATGCCTGATGAAACTCATAAACAATACTCCTATATAGTTGGTGACTTTACATAATTACATTTCTTCTTTTTTTGTAGTTATTTTTTATACTGATTGCATTATTATAATTAATTAGTTGACCCACTGAAATAAAATGCTATCCTCCCTTACTGAGTAACATTATATTTTTACAAATTATTGATTGTCGCCTTTAGAATGAACTAAATAAAGGACATGTGTCTTAAAAAGAGAAAAAGTAGAGAATGATAGGAAGCATACACATATACACATAAAATTAGAAGAGGGTAAAAATGTGTTTTTCTTAGCCTATTCCTTTCTCATGTATAAATGGAATAGATAAATAAACAAATTTTACTTAAAATGAAATCATTAACGATTAAAGATTGAAGTTGAACACGTAAAATATGAGTACTCTTTGACTTGCAGATGATTAAGGTTAGAATGCTCAGATAAGCAACTAAAGGACAGAAGAAATTATGATGTGAAGTTTTTTAATCAAAAACTGAAATTGAGTACCAAATAAATTAAAATATAGAACTTTTCAAAAAATAATGCTAATAATAACTAGCCAGTGATATAAACCAAATCTCACTTGATTCTCTATTAATTTGATCTTTTCAGCATTGATCAAGTAATAGAGAGATACCGTCAACGTGTAAAAGAAACTCGTGTCAACATCGAGGATTCTGCGCAGAACATTGAGGTCAGGGTCTAAATTAGATTAGATATTTTATCATACATTTTTTTGAATATGTATTTATCATACAATTATGTGCTCATGTGTGTTTCTTTGTAATATTACTACCTCCGTCCCATATTAAACTTCCAATTGCGGGTTACGAAGTTTGACCAGCGATAAAATTAAATGATCCCTGTGAAAACTCGGATTATTTTTAGAAAATAAAATTTACATATTCAGAAACTACATCAAACCCGCTACAAAGCCTGCAAAAAATAATTCACTTTTTATAAAATTTTGATACATAAAATAAGAGTTCAAGTGTGATTTAAGTTGACGCTCGAAAAGCGAAATCGAAGTTTATTTAGCGACGGAGGAGTATTAAATAAGAAATAGATCTAAATAAAAACCAAAGTAATGTTAAATTTTAAAGCATGAATACAATGATTTAGACACGAGTAATTACTCACACGGTGATATTAATATACTACGGATCGAGTAGTATGTAATAGGACATTAAGTTTTTTCTATTTAAGGAAATTAAAAGGGTAAGATTATTATTTTGAAATTTCAACATTATATTAAACTCATTGTTAAAAAATTTCCAAAATAAGTTGGTGTAATCATCTCATACGCTACTTTTAGGGCAAATTTTGTATAGCAAATTTTCAATGACCAATTTTTTTTATTAACATAAATTGATTTCATAATCGGCTTAAAAAATAGCTGAACAAGCGTCTTAATGATCAATGGGAATAAGTTGTGCTTTCACTTATGTCCTAATTAAGTATGACGTGATGATTTAACGATTAAGGTGTTAATTAATATCATGAAGGCTACTCAGTCGAAATTAAAGAACCATATCATGAGTATAAAAAGTGGACATATACTACGTATAATATAATATATAATATAATTACTCAAAGTTCGAACATAGGAGATTTACAACCATAGATAATTACTCAAAGTTCCAACATAGGCATGTCGTATATATAATTTATATTCCGTATGTCAAATATATACAGAGTACATCATTATTTCACTTTGTCATCCAGTGATAAAAACCAAGGGGATTTACCTTTGAGTGATGAACAAATAGTGACATATTATAAATCAATCACATTTGGCCTTAATCTCGGTAAGTAGTAATGACGTCCTAACAAACCATATGCCAGGAAAATTACCCTAAATATGACTAAAAACATTTGCATAATCCAAAATGAAACTATAATGTTTTTATTTTCAAAATATGACTAATTACTTTCATGTTTCAGAATTTTCCCATTTTTTCGATTTTCAAATGATAAAAATCTACTCCTAAAGCATTTATAGATCCTTTAAAAAAAAACATTTATTGATTTTGACTGTTCGGTCGTTCAATTGTCATCATACATAGTTCCAAATAAAAAACTGAAAGATACCATTGCCAAGGGATATAGCTCAATTGGTACATTGATGATCCACAAAAAGTAAGTCTCGAGTTCGAATTATCCTACAAATGCGATGAGAGTTTACTATATAAAAATGCATAGAGTCTCTGAAAGTACTTGAATAAGAACCGCACACGCTATCGGTCAATCTATGAATAAAATCCAATTTACATTATTTAACTGTGTGGCTTGAGTTGAAGAGCCATGAGAGATAATGTCATCTTTTTTTGAAAGATACCATTTTTCCTAGTCTCTAGTTGAAGAGCCATGGTCGGCCATACTTTTCATCGAAAAGGGTATCACAAATGGTCTAAAGCTATCTCAGCTGTAAAATTTTTAATGACATTACCTTTTGAGTCGTAACTTTTGACATATAATGAGAAATATATGACCTACAATATACGAAATCAGAACTACTTCATCCAGCTACATGGATGAAAGAATCTCAGTGGTAAATTACCATCTCGACCACCACCCCTTTTGCACCTTCCTTGCTTATAGAATCCTTCCAGCCCTCCTGTTGTACTTGTAGGTGTTACTGTGTTAGTAATACTATACATTGAATGTTTACCATATTCATGTCTAAACTTTTGAAGAAAGTCTCATCTTTTGGGTACGCATTTGGCTAAGCTAGTCATCATAATATGTTATTTGAATCTGGTCTAATTGTAATTTGTTAGTTTGTTTGGCACCTCCTGATCTGTTGAAACTAGATCATTTAGTGGCGATTTAGCTCATTAATTCATTTTAAAATTGTTCAGTCCGATTTCGGTTGAGGGAACATGTTAAATATTTGATATCACATATTAATAGATGTTTTCAGATAAGGGTAAGAAAAACTAGCTCTTATCTTCAAAGCTTTTTTGAGTAATAGCCTTACTGTGTATGTAGAAAGGGCATAATTGCACAAATGGGACTTTTTCACCAACCAATGAAATAATGAACATGTATTTATTATATTGTTCTAATGTACTCTAGTTCAACAGTAGTTGGTTGTACTTACTACTCAACAATGTATCCTCCTCAATAATTCATAAATATTATTCAATAAAGACAACTTTCAGTATATGTTAACATCTGTGATTCAATTTTGAAAAGTCAATCTGATAAAAGTAGTCGACTAGTAGCTTATAATCTTATGTAATGTTTTATTGTCTAATACCATTGCGGTGTGCCATTGTGGGACAAATGTTTCAACATGCCCCCTCAGCCAAAATCAGACAGGACAATATTGGGGTGTAAAGCTAAGTGAGCCAAATAAACTCTAACAATCTACCCTTGAACGTGAGTGCTTAACAATAATCCAACCACAAACAAAGTTGACTCTAATATCATGTTTGACTCTAATTTCATGTTAAGAGTCGGGGTTCCTCTAATAGGAGGAATAGTGCATGATGTTATATAGAACACCATTCCGGTGTGGGATAAATGTTTCAACAATATACCAATGACCAATCTAATACTTCATCTGTTCCCTTTTAATTGCAACAGTCAACATTTCACGTTTGTCAACGCACGAGTTTGACCATTAATATCTTTCAATCCTTATTAATAAAAAATTTAAAAAATTCATACTTTGAAAATTTAGAATGAGAAGAACTTAACAATATTTTTTAAAAATTAAATTCGTAATACATTAATAAATAAACTATAGTCAAAGTAGAATGTGTGAATAGTGCAAAAAGTCCTACGTTGCAATTAAAAGAGAACGGAGGTAGTATGAACTTATAATCAGATAATTGTAATTTAGAACCGTTATATACTACCCTATAAATAGGACAATCATTTTACATGTCTATGCATACAAAATCGATCACAATATAATAGTCCAGTTCATTTCTCTATCTTATTTGCACATTTTCATCTACTTTTGTTCTATATAACATTCAATTGAATTGGTTGTAATCCCCTTATATTGTTTACATCTGCAGCGTCTCAAGCAAGACACAAATATGATTGCAAAGAGAATAGAGCTCCTCCAAGATGCTCAACGGTATATATGGACCTAGTTTCTCGCTTAGCTGTCTATGTACTACACTACTACTAATATTCTTACACTTAATTGTCCTCACAACCCTCAGTATAGTCCCCTCGCACACATACTACCCTTCTTCTCTTATTGAGTTGCAATGAACATATTAATACATTTAATTAGCTTTGTGTTTGTGAAAATAAAAAAAACATGTTTCACACCGGAGCGGAGCAAAGGGGGTCAGGGTAGTCAGTCGACCCCCCTAAAAGTTCGAGAATATAGAGCACTAAAATACCTACTTTTTGATATATTATGTCTCTCGTAACTCATTACGAGTAAAAGTTATGACAATGTGAAAATCAGCACCATCAAAATTTGAAATTACTAAATTTGATGTGAATATTAATTATATTCTCAAAATTTAAAAATATAATCTAATTCACCCATTACTTACATGGAGTTTATAACATATATAATATGACATATATATCACGTTATAACTCTATTAGTCTCATCTATACTATCATTTACTTAAGTTATACTCCCTCCGTCCCGCAATTAAGTTCCCACTTTCCTTTTTGGGCAGTCCCTAAATTAAGTTCACACTTCAATACTTTCCTTATTTGGCAAATTATCTACATCAAAACAGTGTCGAACTGTGTTTAAAAAGTGTCAAACAGTGTACAAACAGTGTCAAACAGTGTTTAAACAGTGCACTCCCCAGTAAAGTCATATTTATTTTTTTAATGTGTGAAGTCAAACCACGAACTTAATTGCGGGACGGAGGGAGTATATGAAAATATCAACTCAGGTGTTGTTTAAAAACATTCCGTGCTTTTTATTCTGTGTTTAGTCAGATTTCGACCCACCCTGAGTCGTTTTTTCTGGCTCTGCCATTGGTTTCATAATATTATTTTTTAACATGATAATATACGGAGTATGAAACAATATCAAATTAAAGTATGTGAATGGTGTAACAAATGTTTTTGGGAAAATGGTCAAATAGACCCTCAAACTTAGATAAAAAGGTCAAATAAGCCCTTATATAGGAGGCTCTGTCCGGTCGTCGCCATTTGGGACAATTACCGGTGGACTTTTTTGATGAAAGTTTTTGAGCATCTTATTTATTAAGTCTAGTTTACTCATACCGAATTTCAGATAACAATTCAATTGGGAAGGTATTCAAATGAATTCTTGAAGATAACTGCGCTTTTAAATGCGCAGTTATCTTCAAGAATTCATTTGAATGCCTTTAGATTGAAGTCTTAGCTGAAATTTGGTATGAGTAAATTAGACTTAATGAATAAGATTCTAAAAGAAATTCATCAAAAAATTCTACCGGGAACAGCCCTAAATGGCGATGGTCGGACAAAGTCTTTTTGACCTTTTTATGTAAGTTTGAGGGTCTATCTGACTCTTTTCCCAATGTTTTTTGACAAGTATTTTCTTCACTTTCACCTTTTTCAATTCGATAAACCGTATGGATTCTTATTTTTAATGCACTTTTGAATTCTTATTATGTGTATGTACGAATATATGTGTTGTTGGTATATACATAAAGTTAAATGTTTCATACTCATAAATGTTTAGGAAACTTTTGGGGCAAAGTTTGGGATCATGTTCTATGGAAGAACTCCATGAAATTGACAATCAGCTGGAGACGAGTCTTAATAATATCAGAAACAGAAAGGTACGTACCAAAAAGAAATTCTGAGTCATTTAAAAGAAACTTTAATTTATGCTATGCCTTAACTATGATACAAAAAATGGAAGAGACAAAAAATATGATCAGGTGAGAAAAGAAACTGATGTGCAATCGTTCCTATTGCATATACTGAAAACTGTATATATATAAAATGGAGGGTTTTGAAAATTCCTTCAAGAAAATAATCATTGTTCAAAATTTAAAATCAAAATGCTTCACAAAATGTAAAGTTGAATCTACAAAGCTTTAAGGAGTATTTGACACAGCGGGGAGAATTTTTTAGTGAAAAGTTCGTATAGCAAAAGAGGTTTTGTTAGCATGACATAATAAACAAAAGACATAAGAAGCAATTAATTTAATTAAGTAATCTTTACTCCCTCTGTCATGATATAAAAAGGGCCTTGACACAACAATTACAGAAATTTTGAATTTTGTGATTGATTTGGAATTTGAAATTTAAGCAACATTAATGGCCACTTAATATGGACAAATATGATATGAGACAAACAATTATGGACGAAATAAAAGAAGCAATTGGGGAAATTTTAAAAATAGATGTAGTATTAAATTTAGTGGTACTCATCATGTTCTTCTTTTGGATGATTTATTTCCCTTTGAAGCAAGTTTATTTAGTTATTGATTAATCCGTAGTATCTAATATCTAATCCATTTTTATTCTAGGCAACTTTTATTGTATCTTCTTTGCCTTCCCTTTGATATTTTCATCTACCTTCTCCAATGTTTCTTACACTCATGGTTATTATTTACAATTTTTCTTGAACTCAATAAAACCTATAGATGCAATTACTTTCTCTTAAACTCTCTGATAAACGTATGGATGCAACAAGAAAAATAGACTGAGTATGTGTAATGGTAATATATAAATAAAAGTTTACACATTCATTCTTTTTCATAAAGTCTTGAACTTATCAAAGTTTTACTCAACTCATTAGTTAAAAATTGAGCATATCAATTGATAAGAGTTTCATATCAGATTTCCTGATACACGGCACATTTAAAAAACACAATTAGTATTATATTTAGGACGGAGAGGGGTGAAGGCCCTGAAAACAAGGACCCTCCCTATATATACCAACTTGATTGTTTGTGCACCAATGTTGAAATCAATGGCTTCCTTATCTTTGATGTCTCTAACCTGAAATTCTAGGCCATAAGTGCTTACATAATAGAGACTTTGTTCAAGTGAACCCACCCCCACACAAACTTTAAATACTACCTCCGTTCTAAAAAAAATTGTCATTTCAAAAAATTTGAACCTTGATTTTGATTAGTATAATATTATGAAAATTATAACTTTATGCTTTTATGAAAGTACTCTAAACAAAGAACATTTTCATATAACTTTTATATTATAAATCATTTCCAATAAAAAGATATAGTTGGTCAAAATTTTGAAAATGACAAAGTTTTTTGGGATGGAGGTAGTATTACAAAGTAGATCAAATGAAATCATTTCATAACTATGTGCACAAATAGTTACTTGTATGTGACCCTTACAGTATCTTACAATGGTATTATACTCCTCTAAGGCTCTAATGCTACAAAAAATAGGCGACTATTTCTGGCTATACATGGCAACTTATATGATTATTTGTCCGTAAGGATGTTTTTACCTTAACTTAAATTTGCTGATCTGGTATGATCTAAATTGGTCTGGTCCGGTCTGTTTAGGTCTGGTCTGGTATGAGACTGAAAACAATGAAGCTTTTGTCGAAGTATTTGTCTCACACTGGATTGCTATAAAACAATAAAACACTATATTAAGATTTCAGAGTATTCCTCCTATCAGGTTAACTTTTCAGGACGGAACTCCAAGTCTTTGCATGATACTCCGTAATAGAGTTTAATCCGGTTGTAGTTTGGTTGTTATTTAACACCCATAAGGCCATAATTAATGGTAGCTCTTTGAGTGTCGGTTTGGCCTATTTATTCACTCCATGTTGTCGAGCCAAGTTTGGGCTAAGGGGACATGTTGAAGTATTTGTCACACACCGGATTGTTATAAAACGATAGAACACTATTAAGATCCTAAGTTACTTCTTCTATGGATTAATCTTTTAGCATTGAATCAGAAGTCTTGGCAGTTTTCTTTAACAATTGCTCATTTGGTTACAACTATAATTTTTCATTCATTTTATCATCTAATACAATACTCATTTGAATATAAAACACACATTTTGTATATGCTACATGGTATCATGCACATTTGGATGTATCATACTATCATGCACATAGTATATTGTCTGGTTGTATAATATACAATATTGGCCTAACATTTACTTGGTGAATCTGTGCTAGCTAGGCTCAAGTATATAAGGAGAAGATTGAAAACCTGAAAGCCAAGGTACGTTATGATAGATACAAATTACCAAACACGAACAATTATTATGCACTGATGCATTAATTCAACCATGTCTCACATCATTATATTTATCTTTGAAATAATAGATCAACTTATAAATTAGTGGGTCATCTCCGATAAAGTTAAACTCAATTATGTTGATTTAGAATGACATCAAGTTGTAGATTTGGTGATACTTAAATTTAGGATTGTATATTTGTTCCTTTCTATATCAGTGGAGGAATCATTCAAAAATTGGACACGGTAGTTGCATCTTTTTTAATTGAGCTTTCTAATGTTATAAGAATGCCTCAAATGGATCATCTAAATTCAACTATGTTGCTTCAAGAGTGACACCTAATTGTAAATTTGATCATATGGAACTCTTAAATTCAATTAGCTAACGTAAATTATTTCTAATTGGATGGTTCTTATCACTTTGTGTAGGAGAAACATCTGCTACAAGAAAATGCAACACTACGGAAGAAGGTATTTTTTTTATTAATAAACTTCATTGTCTAATAAACTTATTCACTCATCCCATGTATTTTATTTTTTCTATAAAAGTTAATTAATAAATACCCCTCAAGTGTTGGTTATTCTCAATCTTTCCCCTCCCGTTAACATTAATATCATTTAACTTCATATAATGAAAATTATATAAAATAAATGTTTTTGAAATTCAGACTATTTCATCATCATGATTATAAGTCATAATCGTTGGTCGTTATTTCTTATTTGTTAATAGCGGAATCAAATTATTGAGAGTAAGAGTTGTATTGACAAAGTAGAAATGCTTAGAGTTTTTTAATTATATAAGTCAAATAGTCAATCCAGCCTCTCAATTTCCTAGTAATTTAGTCAAGTATAGCATATTATATATCCTTGTGAATCAAATTATTGAGAATAAGCCAAGTGAATTCCCTAAAAAAGAGTTTTTAAAGTGAACATAATTTAGACAACTTTCAATAATGTATCTCATAAATATTACTCATATTTTCTCTGTCTAAACCGTTTTGAATCACATTTCCTTTAAGGGGAGCAAAGTAGAATGAATAATGATGACCATCTATGATTAATAATTATCACGATGAACTGTTTAGACTTTTAAAATTATATGAAGTATGTTGTAAAACAACATCCATTGAATTTGAGAGTTTTGAATTAGTTATATGAATATTGGCTTGATGGGTAATTAGTTAATTTTTGAAATGCAAGGTTTAGTTATGGCCATACCTTAAGGGGTGATAGTAATTTCCCCTTTAGTTTTCTTAAATTAGACGTTAGCTTCCAAAATGTTAAAGATTATATGTTTGAAATGGATGTATATTTATCATACATAGTGTGCTATATGGAAAAATCATCAACCACAAACGACACAGCAAAAGGAGATTGTGGAAAGGGAGCAAAGTTGTGGGGTGGAGACCGATTTGTTCATTGGCCTTCCAGTAGCTACTCGCTGGTCATAGCTCCTGCTTTATTTGTAGTTTAATTATATAAGTCAAATAGTCAATCCAGCCTCTCAATTTCCTAGTAATTTAGTCAAGTATAGCATATTATATATCCTTGTGAATAAGATGTAAAACAAAATGTTCGAGCACATTTATCCACTGTGGACTAATGAAGCTACTTATATAAAGGTGTACATAATGTGTTAAAGTAATAACCAGTTTTATTGCTCACAATTACTTGAATTTTAATTAAGAACTTACCCGATATTTAGAGTCCTATAAAAAAACAGGGCAGCTTCGCTAATTAAATAGGGGTTCTGGACTCCCCCCCCCAAATAAAAGTAACAATGTTATCGTAAAAAATATTGTCATACGGTCATATGAATGTGTGATAGTGTCATAATTCATAAAGATGAAACTGCTTTACTCTATTTGGAAAATATTGCACCCACTCATAAAAAAATTACTTTATTTTTAATGTCTATTTTGAGAAATTTCCCATGTATTTTAATTTCAATCCGCTTATATTTCATCTGTATTCCAATAAATGGTTATACGTTCACCGTACCTTTCGACATTTTTTTTAAATACTTTTAATACTTTTTTTCTATATTCAATTCAATATAAATACAATTGTAGTAGAGATATGTTACTAGAGTGCCTTTCATTCAAACTTTAGAAGATGTTAATAACATATGCATGGATTGGAATATTGGATGATTTATAGATGAAAAAAATGATACTCCTTAGTTCTTACTACATACTATCTCCGTCCCAGGGAGAAGTTCCCAATTTCTTTTTTTGGCAGTCCCAACAAGAAGTTCTCATTTCCCTAAATGGAAAGTTATTCTACATCAAAACAGTGCCAAACAGTGCTAAACAGTGCAAAACAGTGTCGAAATAGTGCCAAACAGTGTCAAAACAGTGCCAAACAGTAAAATTTATCCCCCAGTAACTTTATTTCCTTAATATGTGTGAAAGTCAACCCGAGAACTTCTCCCTGGGATGGAGGGAGTAATTGATTCGAGGTATCACATATGACTTGTTTTGGAATTTTTGAAAGGCCAATGGCTACACCATTTATGATCTTTATTTAACTTTGATTTTCTGGGTCCAACCACCCCTATTTAGGGATGGACCTGGGCTGGGCCGGTTCAGGCCTGGGCCCGGCTGGGCTTTTATTTGGGAATGGTGGAATCGGAACCGGCCCGGGTAGCCGGCAGTTCCGGGCCAGGGCGGTTCCGGTTCAATGTTATTTTTTTATTTTCTTTTGATTTTCTAAATAACCCCCGACCCTCCCACCCCCTACCTCCCCCCCCCCCCAAAAAAAAAAAAATCCCCAGCCCCACCCGGTAGAAACAAAAAAAAAAAATTGAAAAAAAAGGCCCGAACCGGGCCCGGACCGGCCGGGTCGGTTCTCATTTTAGGGGGCCCGAGCCTGCACCGGGATTAGAGCGGTTCTGGTTGGCACGAACGGGCCCAAACAGTACCGGGCCGGGCCGGGCGGCCCGACCCGAGTCCACCACTACCCCTATTAGACTATCGGTCCAGTTAATTGTAATTGTCGCTAACCACCCTTAGTTGCTTTAACGTGCTTACGATCTATTTCCTGCGTACAAGACGGTATATAGGAAGAGTCAAGGGCGAGTTCGACCAAAGAATCTAAAATGTTTTATTTAAAGAAAACAACTAAATAGAAATTAATTAAAGCAAATGAACATTTAAACGAGAAGGGAAGCGGGGTATACAGTGAAAAACCATGTGATTGAGGATAATGGATAAAAATGAGGATCTTGAGAAATTAATCATGCAACAAAAGTGATTGATACAAGTTCTCTTACCAATCTCATGGTGAAAGACACCAAGGGCAACAAAAGTGATTGATACAAGTTCTCTTACCAATCTCATGGTCAAAGGACACTAAGGGAGTGTTTGCAGGAAAAAAAATAAAAGTGATTAGTAGTAAAAGTTGATAGTGTTTGAGAAAAAAGTGATTTTGAAAAGTAAAAGTTGGTAGTGTTTGGTAAAATAAGTGTTTTTTGTGTAATAGAAAAGGGAAAAGCACTTTTCATACGCAAGTCGAGAATAAGTAAAAATTGGTAGTGTTTGGTAAATAAGTCTTTTTTAAGCCAAAAACTGAGAAATTTTTTTTTAAGCGATTGCAAACACTCCCTAAAAGCTCCTATTGACCACTCTCATGGTGAAACAACAACCTAAAGTCATTTAATGAAGGGCAACCAATCAAATAATCCCCTACCTCCTCTCATTCTCAAGGAGAGAACTCAGAGAAGGTACTGTGTGTTAATCACTTAGAGCTCGTTCGGTATCACGAAAATCGGTTGTTTGGGCTGATTCTGTTGAAATTTATGAAGTTCTGGCTGAAGTAGCTGCATCGGCTGATTCTGCTGATTTAAGAAAAAATTATTTTTAAAATATACTCCCTCCGTCCCAGGGAGAAGTTCCCAATTTCCTTATTTGGATGTCCCAAAAGAAACTTCCCATTTCCCTAAATGGAAAGTTATCCTACATTAAAACAGTGCTAAACAGTGCCAAACAGTGCCAAACAGTGTCGAAACAGTGCCAAACAGTGTCGAAACAGTGCAAAACAGTAAAATTTAGTTGCATAGACATGAAATGAAGTAGGTGCATAAGATAGCATAAATTGATATCATATAATCTAATGTAGAAATGTAAGAAGAACAATGATTATATGCAAATAAAACTTAAAAAATGCAATATAATTAAAATTGCTAAGAAACCTTACAACAAAAAATTAGGTCTTTCAAGAGCAATTTCTGCCCAAAAGTTTTGAAATTGGGATAGAATATGTTATTTAATTTATGCAAGAGGATATGTGGAGGAATACCGGGAGGGAAAATGCTTTTGGGACACAAAATATGTAAACAAAATGTGTACACATGTCTGTCCTTCGGGGAAAATTTGTCTGTCACAGCCAATTCATTATGAGTTGTTTATGACAGACAAATTTTCTCCGAAAGACAGACATGTGTACACATTTTGTGTACACATTTTGTGTACCCCAAGCAAACTCCTACCGGGAGGGATCAACTTCTTTAGGGGGAGGAATGCCACAAAGAAGATTAGGAGAACCGCGTCGCTCATGCGTTAGCACAAGAGGGTAGTTCTATGTCGGATAGCTGTGTTTGTTGTTTTCTCCACCTAGCAGTATAGTTGATGTACTAAACTTTGATTTAATTAATGCCAATTAAATGTTTTCTGTTAAAAAAAACTAGTTTTCATTATTTGTTATGGAAATTACACACTTTTGATGTTTCTGAACTTAAAAGAGATCAAGGTCATCCAAAAGATCCAGATTACACCTTTAAAGGTCAAAGAAAGTGCAAGGAGGCAAGATGATTTGGAAAGATTGTTGCTATACCTAGTCAGGTATATACAATACCCGATTGGGTATTGACTTGGTTCGGGCGTCTAAATCAAATTTGAGAAACAAATGATCATTCTGATATATATTATGAAGATTTGTCTTATACCAGATCGGGCAAACCGACACATCCGATCGAATATGACTTGAAAAGAGACCTTCCGAGCTACTACCTAGGATACCTGATCGGGTACCCTATGTACCCAGTCGGGTATGCAACCCTGCACGCCACCCCCAAACACCTATACATACAAGAACACATGTGTTTTATATTAACTAAATAGTAAATGTTATTAATAAATGTGTCTCACTATTAATATCTACTCTCGATGTATTGGAAGTAATCCGCGACTGAGTATTTAAGATGCGATAGTTAAAGATATAACCGGGATTGACAAACATTTCACTAGTGAACATTTCACCAAGTACCTGTCTCTATTATTAATTATAAATCACATAAGTAGTTTATGTTAAAGTATGTCCCGCACAGGAAAGATATAAAACAATAAATCATTAGAGCCAGATCCGGTTGTGGTTTGACTGATTGTTTAGCACCCATGATTAAGCGTAGTTTGTTAAGGGCCTGTTTGGTCCATTTATTTATACACCTCGATATTGTCCAGCCGATTCAGACCGAGGGGGCGTGTTAAAGTATATGTCTCACACTGGAAAGATGTAAAACAATAAATTATTATATAAGACTTTGAGCTACTCCTCCTATTAAGTCAAACAATATTAAAAAAAACCTTTGTTACAACTTCATAATGAAGAAATACTCATTTTCATGTGGATACGGACCTTAATACACTATACTACTGTATTAACACTACTATTGATTTTATTTTGAGGCACACAACGACTTTAGTGGCGTCAATACACGTTCTTTTTTAGCGTTTCTACCTTTAACACAATTTTTTCGACTTTGGCAAAAAGTCCAATGGTGGGAGGAACGTAGTCTGGATTCTGGAACACTATTTATGTAGGAACTTTGTTCCTTGACAGCGTTCCTCCACTTGGGAGTGAGAAATGAAAATGTCCGCGAACAAAAAGAAAAACGTCGGTAGAAACAGCATCACCTTGGGCCTTATTGTGGGTTGATCCATCCAGAACTCCTTTGACGCCTTTGTTTCTTGAATCTTTGTGCTCCGTTTCACTTTCACGATTGGAGCCCGTTAAATTATCGAAATAGGTTCCTCAGTCTCTTTCAAATGCTAATAATAGGAACCGAACCTTTCCCGCTCACCCTATTTCAAATGAGCTAGTTTGGTCTGAGTTTTCGATTCATTTTTGTAAAAAAGAAATACTGCTACGCTAGAAATGTAGCTAGTAAGTAATAATAATATGACACAAAATAAATATCAATGTCACCATAATATAGTAAAACTTCAAAATAAAAATTTCAAACAAAATTCTGAAATAGTTAACAAAATATCTAATCACAAATCTATAAATTAAACTGAACCAAACTTTGAAATGTTGAAAATTAGAGACATCATCACCAATAAAAAAAAAGTAGCACCACAAAGTCATAAAAACATAAATTAGTTAGTTGTCACTATACATATATGTCTAAGAGAACACTTTAAATGTGAACACATCTTAAAATGCAAGTAAAATTAAGGTAACTAAATTAGTTTGTCAAACTTTATCCAATAAGAATCTTTGTTTATAAAAAAGATTAAATAAAGGAAATTCAATGCATCTTAAATAGAAAATTTGGATAATAATGTAGGTTTTATATGGACTTTGGAACTTTTATACTAGATATAATGGAGTT